GGAAATGTACACTCAGAATCCGGATAATCAATGTGAATCGAATCCATTTTGCAATGCTGTAATGGACATAATACGTAGCAATCAAGAGAGGGAGGGTAAGCTCATGCACACTGTCACTGTACAAAACAAAAAGGTGGGTATCCGGCGGTTTTTTTTTTTTAATTCGAATTTTGTTGAGTCAAATATTTTTGTTTCAGATTGAAGAATTATCAAAAGCCCTGGCAGAACATGAAAAATGCTTGGGTCAACAGCAAAGGCAACGTGTGGTAAGTTTGATCAGATAATTTCAAGAACCCCTATTAATTATTACGAGTACCCCTTAGAATCTTAGCGAAGGTGAAGACATTGACAACATTACACCTCCGGCCTCATTAACGGGTACTTTGACCACACCATCAGCACGACATACATCAGGATAGTCGACATACACCGACGTCCTACACAACACATTGAAGTGGATAGGCACCGCTAATAAAAGCTACCCCAAAAAAATCTCCACACACACTCATCCTGAACAATGACAAGGATTTACTTTAAGATGCGGCCAATGTGATCCCTTGTAGTGCTGTAGAGGTATCATAAGGTCTCCTTCGTCCTGAACGAAAAAACATTTCTGACAGGTCTTCGTCTTTTTGATTTATTTACATCGAAAACGTAAAACTAACATTTGTCTAGACTCGGTAAGAGCCTGTTGTCAGCAGGACAACAGAAACAACAACAACGAAAGCAAACTAAATGTAAATTGAATTTAGGTTATCGATTTGAAATTAAATTTAAATTACGATTGTTGTTGGGACAACAACAGCCAACATTGTGAGTGCCAAACTAACAACAACATGCAAAATTAGATTTTGTACAACAAAAAAAAAAAAAAGAAAACAATACAAATGCAATCTCCTAACATTAGTATATAATACTAGTATACGAATTTATATATAATAACAACAAAACGTATATATATACATATATATACTTAATTTTATATACCTACTACATAAGAGAAAAAATATGTAAAAGACATTATTATTATGGATACAAATACAGACATTTTTATTTCCCGCCAAATTTTTTGGAGGATGTTTCAATGTTTAGGGCTAGAGTAAGAATATCAAAGACCATCGGAATTTTAAAAAATAATTTTGTAAGGTCTAGAAGAGGCGTGGATTTTTAAAGAATCATTTTTTCAAGGCCTAGAAGAGGCGTGGATTTTTAAAGAATCATTTTTTCAAGGCCTAGAAGAGCCGTGGATTTTTAAAGACAAATTTTTTCAAGGCCTACAAGAGGCGCGGATTTTTAAAGACGAATTTTTTCAAGGCCTACAAGAGGCGTGGATTTTTAAAGACGAATTTTTTCAAGGCATAGAAGAGGCGTGGATTTTTAAAGACGAATTTGTTCAAGGCATAGAAGAGGCGTGGATTTTTAAAGAAACATTTTTTCAAGGCATAGAAGAGCCGTGGATTTTTAAAGAATCATTTTTTCAAAGCCTAGAAGAGGCGTGGATTTTTAAAGAATCATTTTTTCAAAGCCTAGAAGAGGCGTGGATTTTTAAAGAATAATTTTTTCAAGGCCTAGAAGAGGCGTGGATTTTTAAAGAATAATTTTTTCAAGGCCTAGAAGAGGCGTGGATTTTTAAAGAATAATTTTTTCAAGGCCTAGAAGAGGCGTGGATTTTTAAAGAATAATTTTTTCAAGGCCTAGAAGATATATTTTAAAAAGTTCACGCCTTTAAAATATATTTTAAAAAATCCACGCATTGGAAAAATTATTTAAAAAATCAACGCATTGAAAAAAATATTAAGAATTCCAGGCCTTGAAAAAATATTAAAAAAAATCCAGGCCTTGAAAAAAATATTTTAAAAAAATCCAGGTCTTGAAAAAAATATTTTAAAAAAATCCACGCCTCGAAAAAAAATATTTTAAAGACATCAACGTCTTGAAAAAAATATTTTTAAAAAATCCACGCCTTGAAAAAAATATTTTAAAAAATCCACGCCTTGAAAAAATATTTTTAAAAAATAACAACAGGCGCCTACAGGCCTTGAAAAAATATTCTTATAAAATCCACGCCTTAGTACATACATACTTAGCTGGCTTGTGACAGAACTTTCGTTCGATAAGCCGAGCTTAGAAAAGATTTTCAGGCGCGTCGGTCTTTTGCGCAGTTTTTCCAATCTGAAGGACCACATACGGCAATGTTGTCTTCCACTTGGTCTTTCAATATCACTCGTGGCCTTCCCCTTTTGCGTGAACCATCATCTGGTTCGCTTTTATGTGCCTTCTGGGCTGGGGCATCTTCATCCATTCTCACAACATGAACTAGCCAACGTAGTCGCTGCAGCTCAATACGTCTAACAATGTCGATGTGCCGAGAATAGCTGGTACAACTCATGGTTCATTCGACGGCGATATTCACCGTCAACGCAGATCGGCCTGTGGATCTTCTGGAGAATTGTTCTCCAAACACTCCAAGAGCTGCCTCATCTGCTTGCGTAAGTACCCATGCTTCAGATCCATATAACAGCACGGGTAGTATCAGCGTCTTGTAGAGTGTCAGTTTGGTCTGGCGGGAGGTGGCCTTGCTTTTGAGTTGTTTCCTCAGAACATAGTAGCATCTATTGGCCATCACTATCCTTCTCCGAATTTCAAAACTGACGTCATTCGTTTTATTTATGGCGCTACCAAGGTATATAAAATATTTAACTACCTCGAAGCTGTAATTCTCAAGTTCCACAGTTGGTTCGAGTCTACTGGACGTCTTGCGCGTTGATACCATCTCAGCTTGGTCTTCTCGCCGTTTACTGCCAGACCCACTTTGGCAGACTCCTCAATTTGTTTAAAGGTGGCTGTTACCGCTCGCAATGTTCGACCCATTATGTCGATGTCACTGGCGTCGACGAGTAGCTGGTGTTGTTTGCTGTACAGTGCGCCATTTCTGTTCGCCTTTGCGTCTCGTATGACCTTTTCCAGCAGGGTGTTAAAAAGATCACATGACAAACTATCACCTTGTCTGAATCCTCGTTCGGTATTGAACAGCTCCTATAGGTCCTTTCTGACTTTAACTGCTGATCTTGTGCCAGTTAAAGTTCTCCTGCATATTGATTTTGCAGGAATGCCGAACGTAGACATGGCTTTCAACACCTCTAAACGGATAGGGCTTTTGAATGCGGCTTTATAGTCGACGAATAGGTGGTATGTGTCGATGTGTTTTTCGTGGGTCTTTTTCAAGATTGGGCGCAGAGGGAAAATCTGGCCAATGGTTGATTTGCCAGGTCTGAAGCCGCATTGGTATCGTCCAATAATGTCGTTCACACAGCACACTGGATAGCACTTTATATGCGATGACTAATTCCTCTATAGTTGGTACCTATCGTCTTGTCTTCTTTTTTGTGCACGGGACACAGATGCTTCAATCGTTCACACAGCACACTGGATATCACTTTATATGCGATGGCTAATTCCTCTATAGTTGGTACATATTGTCTTGTCTCCTTTTTTGTGCACGGGACACAGGATGCTGAGGTTCCAACCATTGGGCATGCATTCCTCTAGCTAAATTGTACTAATCAGCTGGTGCATGATCCTTACCAGCATCTGACCACCAGTCTTGAATAGTTGGGCTGGTAACCCATCCGGCTCCTGCTGCTTTATTATTCTTCAGCCGATTAATTTCTATTCTGACCTCATCTTGGCTAGGTGGTATACATTCTATACCGTCATCTCTTATTGGTTCTGGGGTATCTTCTTCACCGCCACTATTTGATACCAGTAGTTTTTCAAAATGATCCTTCCACATCCTCAGAACGCTGTCTGTATCTGTCTCCAGGTTTCCTTCTTCATCTCTACTGGAGGATGTGCCTGCGCCAAAACCTTCGGTTTGGTGTTTTACTTGTTGGTAAAATTTATGGACTTCATTGTGACTCCTGTACATCTCGATTTGCTCACGCTCACGTTTTTCTTGTTCTTTCTTCTTTTTTTTCTGAAAATACGTTTCTCCTCTCTCCTTTTCTCCCGATAATTTTCCATCACATTACGTGGTGCTACTGTCTGCAGGGTTGCCCTATACGCTGCGTTTTTCACATCAGTAGCATTACGACACTCCTGATCGTACCATGGGTTTCTTGGTGGTGGTTTTTGGTACCCAAGTTTTGCTTTTGCTGCAGTTTGTAGGGAGTGGACAATTCTTTGCCATTGTGCTTCGATACTATTATCGGGACAAGAAGTACTTTCGTCAAACTGATGGGAAAGTTGAACGGAGTAGTCCTCGGCTATCTGTTGTTTTTGCAGCTTTTCGACGTCGAATTTCCGTGTTGTGTTAGATCGCACCTTTGTTGCAACATCAAGATGAGTGCGAACCTTGGCTGCCACAAGGTAATGGTCCGAATCGATATTCGATCATCGTATCGATCGAACGTCTAATACACTGCATGAATGTCTTCCGTGTATCACAACATGATCGATTTGATTTTTCTTTGTTCGATCGGGAGAAATCCAAGTGGCCTTGTGTATATAGAGATGCTTGAATCTGGTGCTGCTAACTACTATGTTTGTGGCTGCCGACCAAGTCAATCAACCCTATGCCGTTGTCTGATGTTTCTTCATGAAGGCTGAATTTTCCTACGGTGGGACCAAAAATATTTTCCCTTCCGATTCTTGCATTATAATCTCCTAGCAGCATTTTAATTTCATGACCAGGGCAGCGGTCATATGCTGTTTCTAGGCGCTCATAAAATATGTCTTTGGTCTGTTCATCTTTATCTTCGGTCGGAGTATGGGCGCAAATGAGACTGATGTAGAAGAACATCGCTTTTATACGGATTATGGCAATTCGCTCATCTTTTGGAGTGAATCTGGAGACGAGGTAGTTTATTTTCCTTTTAGCCATAAATCCGCCGCCAAATTCATGTTTCGTTTAATGACAGCTATAATACAGGGCGTAATAACCTGATTTACTTACGGCTATCCCTTTCCATCGCATTTCCTGTAAGGCAACTATATCGGCTATGTACTTCTTGAGTATATCCGCCAAAGCAAAAACTACTCCTGTTCTGTACAACGTGAGCACATTTCAAGTGCAGATACGCAGACCGTAGTCCTTTATACGTTTGCCGGGGTCGTCACCATTGGGGGGGTTTGGTTTTCTTTTTCTTCGCTTTTTCATAGTAGGAGGGGTTTTCCGAGTGTGGGCAACTAACCCGACGCCTCAACCCAATTTTCTTATAGTTCTCGCGGCACATATCAGCTCAATATTTCAATGGATGATGAAAATAGCTACACCAGGAGACACCGCGGGGAGGTCAGTGTCCCTAATTAAGATGAAGGAGGGACCAAGATAAGCCTGGGCATCGCCATGTTAAAGCCAATCAAAGCCGTTCCTTGGTATCTATCATCCTCTACCCCACCCTGAAAAAATATTTTTAAAAAATCCACGTAGTGTAGGGTATAAATCCACAATAAAAAATAATAATAAATTAAACTACGCCGTCATGGTATTGGTTTATATATTCTGCACATAAATACACAGTCGAACTTATGTTCAAAGTTTTGAAGTTGTCTGGGTAGATTATTTTACATGTTAAACTAAATGATGATCAACAAACAATAACAAAAACACACCAAAATACCTACACCACTACATATTTGCAATATCCGAGAGTAAGGACAACAAATTTGTTGTTAGCACTCAGGAGCCAGGGGGTGGAGAGCGGTGGGTGCTCTGGTGGTGTAGCACGAAACACTCATCACAGACTTGTCGAACTTCTCAATAAATAAATAAATGTTGAATTCGATTGCCTGACAGGAAACGGTATATCGCGCATTTCCCCATTGTCTGTAAACGAGACAACAACGACACCATTCGATTCGAATCGAATAAGCGTAAAATAAATGGTAGTAACGGAAATTCTTAACGTGATACCGGAGGACATAAATAAAAAAAATATAAATCATTTTTAAAAGAATTTCTGAACAAAAAAAAGGAGTTTCAAAACTATTTGCAGTCACCGAAAATAAAAAAATATATTTGTGAAAGAATAGTGAAAATTAATTGAAATTGCCTGAATGGCTGCCTGAGTGAAGTGTAATTAAAATTGTTGCATACTTTGAGGCGTCACAAATATTCCTCAAGTGTGAATTGAATATTTTGTTAACATTGCACTATGGTTTTTTTTACGTTTATTTTGGCATAAACTCTAATTTTAAAGCTATTGAATTGAAATTTGGGTTGTATACATTTTTTATGCTCCCAAGATGACCTACCAATTTTCATATGATTTGGGGCACTATTTCATATAGCTGCTATATAGCCGTTCTGGCCGATTTGTCCCGACTTTTTTGTTTATAAAGCTATTGAATTGAAATTTGGTTTGTATACATTTTTTATGCTCCCAAGATGACCTACCAATTTTCATATGATTTGGGGCACTATTTCATATAGCCGATCGGCCGATTTTTCCCGACTTTTTTGTTTTTAAAGCTATTGAAGTGAAATTTGGTTTGTATACATTTTTTATGCTCCTAAGATGACCTACCAATTTTCATATGATTTGGGGCACTATTTCATATAGCTGCATATAACAAAATGTTTGTTCCTTACTTCGGCTATATTTCCATTACTGACTGATTTATTCAAAACAAAGGCCATGTCTCTGTCGTTGAATATTTTGGCTGAAACCATAGCAGCAATGATATAGCATATTTTGTGAAGAAACTTCGGAGGCTAATTTCCTTTTTAGCCTAGGTCCAGCATGTTCATAATTTAATTTTGGGCGACCTATTTTGTTTGGGAAAAAACATACTGCTCATCCATTACTATAATTATACTTTTACGGTTGAACTTTGGCAAATGCTTTTTTATATAACTATCAAAATCTTTAACTTGTTTCGATATCAAACGCATTTGGTCTTCATTTAAACTGATATTATTGATATTCTGTAACACATATTTCATAAGTGAATCTTCTGAGCGATTTTTGCTGCTCCAAATTTCAATAAGCGCTGCATGGGCAAACACATGTTTATCAGTAAAAAACACGAGTTGGCACAAAAAAGCACAAAAAAGGCTAGTTACCCATTAATTAACACACTTTTGTTAATAACTTGGCATTTACACCTTTTTGCAATGCTTTGCCATTCACAAGTTACACTCCACGGAACAAAACTACAATGTATAGATTTTATATAAAGTTAAACATAAACAAAACATTTCACAGTATTACAACAACAGACAAATATGACAAAAAGAGCATCTCGTCTTAATTTTACATACCTGCACTAACGTTTTCCATAATTACACATTTTAATTTTTTAAATTTTGTCAAATTACAAGCACTCGAACTTAGCTGATTTTTACCGCCAGTTGTACCAAAACAATGTGACGTTCAAACTGCTGACTTTTAAAGCTCGCCAGCAAAAAAAGGGTTGCCACCCCCATTGATATTGAATGTTTTTTTTTTCTAATATGGATGTCTACATTTAGGAAATCAGTTACATTTCAAAATATGAAAACAAAAAAAAATTGACTTTATGCCAAAAAATCATACTTTTTACCCATAGTGCATTGGTGGAACTTTGTCACGAAACGGCCGAACAACAGATTGTTAAGCGGAACATGAAAATCAAATTTTGAAGTAGTGCTTTATTATGAGTGATTTAAATATATAAAAAATTATTTAAAATAAACTTTCCAACATCTCGAGGGGAAAAATCAATATTTTGAAAAATAAAGTCCCTATCCAGAAAGCCAGAAACCCTTTATACATATTGTTATTTGTATATTATAGGTGATACGAGGGATCACTTAATAAGTGCTACACAAAAATATTTTTTAAAAAATCCCTGAAAAAATATTTTTAAAAAAATCCACGCCTCCAGGTCTTATAAGTGCCTTGAAAAAATATTCTTAAAAATCCAGGTCTTATAAATGCCTTGAAAAAATATTTTTAAAAAATCCGCGCCAGGCCTTACATATGCCTTAAAAAAATTCTTAAAAAATCCAGGTCTTACATATGGCTGGAAAAAATATTTTTAAAAAAATCCACGCCTCCAGGCCTTACATATGACTGGAAAAAATATTCTTAAAAAATCCAGGTCTTACATATGCCTGGAAAAAAATATTCTTAAAAAATCCAGGTCTTACATATGACTGGAAAAATATTTTTAAAAAAATCCACGCCTCCAGAGGCGAATATGCCCTTTGAAAATTCTTTAAAAAAATCCACGCCTCCAGGCCTTACATATGCCTGGAAAAAATATTTTTAAAAAAAAATCCACGCCTCCAGGCCTTACATATGCCTGGACAAAATATTCTTAAAATCCAGGCCTTGAAAAAATATTTTTAAAAAAATCCACGCCTCCAGGCCTTACATATGCCTGGAAAAAATATTCTTAAAATCCAGGCCTTGAAAAAATATTTTTAAAAATCCACACCTGATGCATGCAGGCCTTGAAAAAGTATTTTTAAAAAATCCACGCCTGTTGCCTGCAGGCCTTGAAAAAATATTTTTAAAAAATCCGCGCCTGTTGCCTGCAGGCCTTGAAAATTATTTTAAAAAATCCACGCCTGTTGCCTGCAGGCCTTGAAAAATATTTTTAAAAACTCCACGCCTGCTGCCTGCAGGCCTTGAAAAAATATTCTTTAAAAAAATCCACCCCTTAAATAGGACTTGAAAAAATATTCTTTAAAAAATCCACGCCTGAAAACATATTCTTTAAAAAATACACGCCTGAAAACATATTCTTTAAAAAAATCCACGACTGTTGCCTGCGGGCCTTAAAAAAATATTTTTAAAAAATCCGCGCCTGTTGACTGCAGGCATTGAAAAAATATTCTTAAAAATCCATGCCTTATTGGCTGCATTGAAAAACTATTCTTAAAAATCCATGCCTTATTGGCTGCCTTGAAAAACTATTCTTAAAAATCCACGCCTTAGTACATACTTAGCTGGCAGAATTTTCGTTCCATAAGCCGACCTTAAAGAAGATTTCCAGGCGCGTCGGTGTTTTCGCAGTTCTTCCAATTTGAAAGACCAAATTCGGCAATGTTGTCTTCCACTTGATCTTTCCAACTTATTCGTGGCCCTCCCCTTCTGCGTGAACCATCAGCTGGTTCGCTTCTGGCCTGGGGCATATACATCCATTCTAACAACATGACCTAGCCAACGTAGTCGCTGCAGCTCAATACGTCTAACAATGTCGATGTGGTTCATTCGACGGCGATATTCACCGTCAACGCAAATCGGTCCATAGATCTTTCGAGGGTATTTTTCTCTCAAACACTCCAAGAGCTGCCTCATCTGCTTGCGCAAGTACCCATGCTTCAGATCCACGGGTAGTATCAGCGTCTTGTAGAGTGTGAGTTTGGTCTGGCGGGAGGCGGCCTTGCTTTTGAGTTGTTTGCTCAGACCATAGTAGCATCTGTTGGCCATCACTATCCTTCTCCGAATTTCAAAACTGATGTCATTCGTTTTATTTATGGCGGTACCAAGATATGTAAAATTCTTAACTACCTCGAAGCTGTAGTTCTCAAGTTCCACAGTTGGTCCGAGTCTACTGGAAGTCTTGCGCGTTGATACCATCATCTTGATCTTCACGCCGGTTACTGCCAGACCCACTTTGGCAGACTCCTTTTCAATTTGCTCAAAGGCGAGCTATTACCGCTCGCAATGTTCGACCCATTGTGTTGATGTCATCGGCGTAGGCGAGTAACATGTGTTGTTTGGTGTATAGAGTGTCATTTCTGTTCCCCTTTGCCTTTCGTATGACCTTTTCCAGCAGGATGTTAAATAGGTCACACGACTAACTGTCACCTTGTTTGAATCCTCGATCTGTATTGAAGGGCTCCAAAAGGTCCTTTCCGACTTTAAGTGCTGATCTTGTGCCAGTTAAAGTTATCCTGCAAAGCCGAATTAATTTTGCAGGAATGCCGAACGCAGACATGTCTTTAAACACCTCTGAACGGTTAGGGCTATCGAATGCGGCTTTATAGTCGACGAATAAGTGGAATGTGTCGATGTGTTTTTCGTGAGTCTTTTCCAGGATTTGGCGCAGAGTGAAAATC